GTGTGCGTGAGTGAGTGAATCTATATATGTATATGATTATATGTTTAAGTGTTATGATTACTGTATGTTTAATTGTTTTTAATCTTGATGTGGACTCTTGGAAGATTAGCCAATGGCTAAAAGAGATCCAAATAAAATCAAAATCAAATCCAGCCTAGAAATTATAGACCCATTGCTTTGGCAAGTGTACTTTCCAAAGTGCTGGAGCAAATTCTTTTCGATAGACTCCAACAATATATAATCACCACTGACAACCAGTTCGGTTTTAAAAGTAAGCATGGCACAGATTTTTGTATTTATGCACTGAAAGAGATGGTTAGTATGTATAGAAGAAAAAAATAGTACAATGTTTTTATGTTTCTTGGATGCATCCAGAGCATTTGACAGAGTCAATCATGGAAAGCTATTTGCCAAACTTCAGGAGCGAGGGGTTCCACCTTATATGATAAGAATATTACAGTGCTGGTATACACATCAAACAATGCATGCTCGATGGGGTACAAGTACATCTGCACCTTTCCTAGTGACCAATGGTGTGAGACAAGGAGGAATCTTATCACCTGTACTCTTCAATCTGTATATGGATGATCTGTCTAGACAGCTAAACCAGTGTAGAACTGGATGTATGTTGGGAGAGAGGCTTATCAATCACCTGGTATATGCTGACGATCTGGTCATTATGTCTCCCTCTAGTGTTGGTATGCAGCAATTGCTTAGAATCTGTTCCTGCTACGGTGTGCAGTATGATATTATGTTTAATTTGAAAAAGAGTGTTATTTTAATTGTGAAAACCAAGGAGGATAAGAAGTCAAACTTTCCTTCCTTTGTTCTAGCAGACCAAGTGCTTGGAGTTGTGAACAAATTTAGATATCTTGGCCTCATAATCAGAGATGATTTATGTGATGATGATGATGATGATGATGACATCCAGTGTCAGTGCTGCAAACTCTATGCACAAGCCAACATGCTTGCACGAAAACTTCATAAGTGTACTGATGATGTCAAGATAGCTTTGTTTAGGTCATATTGTACTTCTTTGTATACTACTTGTAAGTACAGTGCTGCAAAAATGAAAAAAATCCAGGTGGCATATAATGATGCATTTAGGATTTTACTCAGGCATCCAAGATGGACAAGTGCAAGCCATATGTTTGTAAGCAGTGATGTGCCCACTTTTCATGCTGTTCTTAGAAAGTTTATTTACGGTTTTATGTGTCGACTTAGCCAGTCAAAGAATGGTGTCATTATGGCCCTAGTGGTGCCTGCACAAAGTGACACAAAATATTTGTCATACTTCTGGAAGCACTGGAATAGATGCCTGTATGTGTTTTAAACTTACTTGTTGTGTTGTTTTTGTATGTATTGTCTGTGTTTTTATATGTATTTTATATGGACTTGAGTCTGGAATAAAGTTTATCTATTACTACTACCACTACTACTTCTTTTGCGACTTCTACCTCTTCTTCTTCCACCACGACTAACTAACTTTACCAAGTAAAAACTTTTTGCTCAAATCAATTTTTTTCACAAGTTTGAGTTTATTGATTGTTCATATTTATCTTGGTCATACATTTTAATCCACTAACAATCACAGCTATTCAAACAAATTGATGTTGTACATAGATTAAATGATATTTGCTGGTTAGCTTTTTCAACAGAGAACAGTGAACAATGAGTACATTGATTTGATTACAACATTTTTAAAAGATCTCAGACATAAAATATGTTAAAACAATTTTATATTTGTGGTTTGCAGCTTCAGTTTACAGCAGGGATACTCAACTTGCCGTGCTCAGGGGCAACTTTTGCAAAATGACAACTAGTTAATAAAGAAACATTAAAATATTTATTAGTAAATATAACAAATGAGTTGCTTGTTTTCAACCCCTTGATGTTTGCTGTACGTGGGGGTGTTTTTTGGGACTTGAAGACATTTGGGACGTAGCCCTGACCTCAGAAACAGCTCTATTTTGATGCTTTTTTGCACTCTGGCAGCTAATTTAGATTCAAAGCACAAAAAAATCCAATTGGATCAGTTTTTTTCCATTGTGAACTAGTAAGTGGTTGGTCGACCACCTGGCACCCTGTCGTGGGCCAAATGTGGCCCATGGGCCATGAGTTGAGTACCACTGGTTTATAGTATATGCACTTAACAACACATCAAACACAGAGTCTGTGGTTAAGATAAATTTGCAACTTGCTGTGCAGCAGTTACAATACAAAGTAAGAAACAGTGAAAAAATATCATATACAATAAAAATAAGGTGCAAATCCAAATATTTACAATGCAGTTTGGATCACGTCCACATCTGAAAACACTGGTGCTTCACAAACATCTTCCCCCGGGCAACACACTGTTTTATACAGAACATTATGATGTCACAGTGAAGCTGACCTTTGACCTTTTTTATATACAATGTCTTCAATTCATCATTTTATCCTATTAGACATTTCTGTCATATAGTTAGTGTAGGAATTCTTGAGTTTTAACCAAAATGTGTTTTGTGAGGTCACACTGACTTTGACCTTTGACCTTTGACCTTCGACCACCAAATTCTTCAGTCTAAGTGGATATTTTTGCCAAATTCAAAAAATTCCATCCAGGTGTTCGAGAGGAGTCGTGTTCATGAGATTGAGGCTGATGCAAGGTTACATTGACTTTGGCCTTTGACCAATGACCACAAAAAATTAATCAGGTCATGGTTGTGTCCAAGTGGACATTGGTGCCAAATTTGGCATTCTTTTGAGATACCATGTTAGCAAGAATGGGAGGGACAGACAGATGGATGGATGGAAGGACAGACAACCTGAAAACATATTGCCTCTGGCTGCATTTCACTGGTGTGGAGGCATAAAGATAGATTGTGAAACAGGAAAAAGCGCTTGAAGCTCAGACAAGATAAAACCTGTGACATATCACATATGAATAAACATATTTCAGTTCAAAGGTTAACGATGGGTTAAAAAGATTTTCATGTGATCTACAGGGAGACATGACTTTATTGATATATTCTCCTCCCTGTCTTTTGGAGTCACAGCTCATTGTAGGTTTTAACTCTCTTTTAACTTTGAATATGTTAGTTTGCTTGAAACATTCAAACAATCGCTCACTCCATCTTTGATCAATTCGATAGACTGGGCTCCCCCCTTGACAGCAGCTGCTGCCATCATTGCTGCTTCCAATGCCGTGTTTGCTCCCTCAGCTGCATGATATCCTGTATAACCTCCCACTGCTGCTCCCACTGCAGCAGATACCCCAATTGAGATCAATGTTACTCCTAGTCCCCCTGCTGCTGCTGTTCCTCCTGCTGCTGAACCTGCTGCTGTTTCTCCTGCAGCTGCTGGTACTGCTACTACAGGTGCTTTGGCCACAGTCACTAGTCCCTTTAAAATGTTGAAAACTATTCTACCTAACAGTTTTACACCAAACAAAGCTCCTAACAATACACCTTTTCCAACACCTGCCAATCTGAGCCAGAATTCCTTAGATGCCCTGTCTTTAGCCTGCCGTGTGATCTCTTCCTCTGACATGTTTTCTGATGACTTTCTAATGTGCGTCTTCTTTTGTTCAATTATTTCCTGTGCTACTTGGAGCATCTCATTGGTGTAACACCTTCCTTTGTTTGCTTTTGTTATCTCATCTATTGTGTTAAGTAGTTTCTCCACCTGGTACTTGTTGCTCCTGTATTCATCCTGTTGGTTGTTCTTCCAGTATTTATTATCAATGACATGGCAGCGGCCTCCGCATTTCTCCACCAGATCACTCAAGGACTTATTCTTGCTGACAAAATCCTCAATTTTTTCTCCTTCCGCCAGCTGGTCACCATGAGTGAAGAGGATTGTTGCATATTTGAAGACTTCTTCAGAAAAGCATTCATTGATTTTGTCGATGACATCCTGCTCATGCTTTGTGAATTTCTCCACTTTAAGTACAATGAGAAAAGCATGAGGCCCAGGAGCGCACTCTGTGATACACCTCACTATCTCACACTTCAGCTCCTCCTCAGATTTCTCTGTGTCAAAGAAACCAGGAGTGTCGATCAAAGTGATGTTTCTTCCATTGACAGATCTGGTTTCTGCTTGACATTCTTTTGTTCCAGAGTTGGAAGTATCATCAACCTTGAATGGTTTCTCTCCAAGTATGGTGTTAGCCAGGCTGCTTTTCCCAACTCCAGTTTTCCCCAGAATGACAAGTCTCCTGTCTGACACAGAAAGAGAATAATGTCCATCAGTACATTGTACATTTAGCTTTTGGTTGTTTCACATATATAAGAAGATACACATTAACTTGGTCATTGGACAAAAATAAGTTACTCACAAAACAACAGAATTATCGTTATAAGAGAATTAAGAGTGGTGTCAATACATTAAAAGAAACCAACATGACCCCGATCAGAGTCCTTTAATATTTGGTATCTGGCTCAGACTCCAGACTCATACTTACATTTATCCAAACGTTAATGTTTATTTGGCACAGATGAAAGACAGACAGATAAAATGACAGCTGTAGACTACTCAATCATCTATGTTATTTCTAATTCCAGCCTTTATTTTGACTCAAATTGTCCCACTCATTAAATATGGCAGCTCAGTCAGTTGCCCTGTGCTTTAACCTATGACACTCTGGGTACCCCTCTAGCATCTGTTTTTAAAGCTAAGGGACAGCGTGCCAATTTCTGCTCATTACAGGCAGTCTTTTCCAAATAAACGTCAGTGTTCACAGGACACAGGCCACAAAACTAGTTGGTTATGTTTAGAAAAAAAAATCATGGTGTGGCTTAAAATAAGAGCCTTTGTTGTGTTGCTTAAGTTAGTTAGTGACTTTGTCGTGATGTTCGTCACGTGACATTCACAACGTAACCAAGCTAAAAAATCTCTACATTTTACATGGGACATGAACACTGGTCTCCTGAGTCAAAGTCTCTTGTTTGTTTGACCCATCCACCACCCCTCCCTCCCTGCATGCACTTTCTTGCTCTTTATACTATGTCATCACTGCAGACAGGTTTCCATCTGAGGTATTTGAGTTCCACTTTGTAGCACAGCACATTTATCATAGTTGGGAGGTGGTCTGGAAATAAATGAAAAGGTATGTAGTTCTTCAGCCAGTAAGATAAGCAACATTTGGTTGAATTTGAAAATTTAATTCGTCCACATACAGTAAAAATTGGTTTTAACCATTTATTTTCAGACCTATTGTATTATTCATTCTAATGTTTTGACCTTAAATACATATTGCTGTAATAAATAGTTGTGCATTTTAGTCCTCTATGATGCAAATTGTTTTTTATTGTTTTGTTTGTTTTGTCCGAAAAAAAAGGCCATTGCTTAATATTTTACATTTCAAGTTATTTTACGCTGAAATACATTACTGTCAACAAACTAATAATTAAGTCTCGAAAATTAAAATATTCTTAAACTGTATAAATAAAACCCAAGCATACTTTATCAAATGCTTTTCTTAAAATCAGCTAAAAGAATGAAATATATATATGTCTGATGTTATTACTGATGTGACTACCTTGTGGATTTGGATGTATTATATTTGATAATACCTTTTCAATCTATTTGCAAGACATTTAGCTAACATATTTACACTGTAATATAATTAGTTATATTAATACAGGAAGGTCCTTATACCTTCCACATGAATCTTGTTTAACTACAGTTATATCAAACCTTCCTGTTGAGTTTCTGTGAGTTTTCTTTCCCCATATGAATAACTGAAGGCTTTAAGCAACAGAGTTTTAATAGATTCATAAAAAGTCTGTTTAAAGTCTGCAGGTGTGCCATCGGCATGGATTTTGTTGTTTGGTTAGATGTTATTTTGTATTTATGTGTTGTTTTGTTTTTGTGTGACTGTGTGTATTCTTTTTAAGATTATTTTTTCAGGCTTTTTGCCTTTAATGTACAGGACAGATTGAGGCGTGGTGAGGGGGAGAAGAGCTGCATTCTGCCCTAACACTGCTTTTAGCTCTGGTAGCCAAAAAGTCATGGGAATATTTAGGAGAGTATACCCATTTCCACCTTGGAAACCTACCAATCTACTTAGTAGTACACCCTCCTCATCAGCTTCCATTACACCACAGATTTCGCCAGTATTTGCAAAAATAATTTATTTCTCCTTTCTCTAAAATGGTAATTACTCCCTTGTTCCCCAAAGTCTTATCTTCCACTGTACCTACAGTTAAGTACTAGTGGGAATTGGTAAATATTTTATTAGTACCTCATCTAAATGTAGCAACTGCATGCTGGAAATGACGATTTAAAATGAACAAAGCTATTATGAAAAGCTCTGCATCTCACAGCGCAATGTACAACATTCAGTCCTGACAGAAATAACTGAAAGAAATAAACTTACCGTCCATGTTGTCAAAAATGAAGTTACAGTGAGGCGACAGTTAGTCAGAGTGACTGACAAGACTGCCTGAGTGTGAATAGGTTTCCTGTATTCTCTCTGAGTTTGGCCGCCACTCTCACTTCCTGACTACATAGCGTGCCCAAAAAAAGTGACTGTAGGTGTTTTTACATGCATCCGTTTTGTTTTTCGACACAGTATAATCACCACACACCTCCATTTTGTTTTGCTACTCGGTATAATGCACGTCACATGCGGCCTGCTCCGTGGCAGGGCTCAGATTAGTTTTTGATTACTTTAAATTACTCCAATTTATAAGACCCACTTAAACCATCTAGAAGGCCACAGATCCCTCAAAATGATACAGATGATGGTCAAATAATGGTCAAGGACAAAGGGCTTCCCCCAAGATTACAAACTTTATTACAATCAGCAGCACATTTAAAAAAAAGAAAAAAAGACCAAACTTTAATTAACCTAACTGATTTAAAATACAGGCAGGAGCACTACAGGACAGCTGGACGTAGCCGTCGTCGGGGAAGGAAAAATTTAAATGGGGACAGAGTACTCACCACGCTCCGTGCCCAACACATGCACACACACAGCAAAATAACCAAACTATAAGGGAAAACTATAAAGTGTGAATGACGTGCAAGATACATGTTTAAGGTGGTGTGAAGCTCGGTTGAAGAACTCTGAACACCACTCCCTTCACCGTCCAGGCTGCCACGCTATCACCAGTCCTGCAGCACTCATGCAAAGAAAAAGACCAACAAAGAGCGTGTTAAAAACACACAGAACTGCTGCAATAATGTATGTCAAATTTCTTGGGAGAAAGCAATAAAATGTCCGAAGGGCTAAGATAAAAAAAAAAAAGAAAAGAAACTAACAGAGACCACCTAATATAACAAAAGACAAAATAATACTGAACTAAAGTATGAATAAAGCAACTGTATCAACCATGAAACAATACTAAATGAGCAACCAAACAAAATGAAACAAAGCAAAACAACACAAACAAATAAATAAATGACCATCCTGCCAAACACATGATTCATATGAACAAAGAAAGTTGGCATTTTACCTCTTCTGTCACAATACTGTTGACTTCTGTTGGGTTTGGCCTATGGGTGCAAAAGGCTTTTTTTGTGTGTCAGGGCATGATACATGTTTACCAATTTTTGTGCATGTTGGTGAAACATGCTGCAGGGGATGCTCTTTAAAGGGTGTGGCCAAGCCATTTTGCCACGCCCATCGATTAAACTCTTATCATGCATCCTGGCCTGCACTATTAAGGAGCGTGTGAAGTTTCAGGCTTATTGAACCAAGTACACTGAAGTTAATGCCAATTGTTGTGTTTTGGCAAAATGGGAGCTTGTCAAGGTACGACCCCTGGAAGTGGCACCGTAAATTCAAAATGGCCGACTTCCTGCAGGGTAAGATCATGGGTCTAAGAGACTTTTTTGTATGTCTTGGGAGTTTACAGGTATCTACCAATTTTCGCACATGCTACAAGTTGCTTCGGGGGCTGTTTCATCAAAATTTGAGTCATTTTTTGGCTTTGTAGCTTTTGAGCATGTTAAGCCCCTCAAAAGTGGAGGAGGAATAAAAATCACTTAGGGTCCTCGAATATTCTCTTGATTATTTAGATATACCTATAATTAATATGAAATGGTGAGCAACTGCAACATCAGAGCCGCTAATTTCATGATCAGTAAGACTGACATGTTTACTGCAAACTAGGCATGCTGTGATAAATGAGTATCGACAATAACCATGATATTTAAAAAGGAAACATGTTAATAATACACATATGATATTATTGTGTAAATAATCCAGCACCTCTTTAATTACTTTCATGTCCATTAGTTCTCAGTTTGTCTCCCTCTCCACCTCCAGACACTCATATTTTTAGTTGAATTAATTTACTGAAAAAAGAAACAAAATGCACAAAATTAAAAATGAATTTGACTGATGGCTTTAAAACTATTATTATTATTTTCAAACCGTGTAATGAAAATCTCACACTATGCCAGCTCTATCTCAAACTAAAGTTATATAAAGACTGAGGAATGTGTGAGGGACTTGCACAGGAAGAGGATGTTTGTTTGTTTAAACTCAAAGGAGGTGGAAAGTCCCACAGTCTAAAATGAAGTTAGGAGCATTGCATGTTTGACTTGGCGCCCTCTAGTGTCAAGATCTCTTTAACAAGAAAGAACAGCAGAAAGAAAAATTCATGGCCAAATAGAAAAGGACAAATACAAACACTAAAAATATAACACACCAGACATAACAAGAGCACATGGCATCAGAGACAATCACAGACAAGTTTATATAAATTCAAAGTTAATCTTTAAAGATCAGCCAGTAGGATGAGACATTCAGTTTTAAATCCTCTGTAAGTCTTTGAATTTATAAGGTGCAAGGTAGTGGAAGACGATCTTCAGTCTACAGCTCAGTATTTACCAGAGAGGTAACGTGGGTGAAACAGTCAAAACTCTCAGCAAGTCTCCCTCAGATACAGATGACACAGGATATTCTGCTGAGATGTTATTGACCAGTGGTTGATGCATGTGACTCGCCCTCTCACACAGGAGGCTACATACCTGGCTGCTACATTTTACAGCAGACAATACTGATTTGATTTCAATATTTAATGTGATCATTTGAAGGATAATTTAGCCAAAGTAAGATTTCCCAGAATGCCATATGTTATAGAGTAATGAACAGTAATCAGTAATGATAACCATGTGTGTGTGTGTGATGGGAAAGGAGATTAACCTCGCCAAGACAGAACCACAGCCAACAGTATACACTGATTTAATTTTAATTTATTTTAAAGATCTTATTCATAACAGAGGTTAAAACCATTTTATATGAGTGGTTTGTGGCTACAGTTTACAGCAGATGCACTTAACAACACATCGAAAAGACACTCTGGGCTTAATATGAGATAAAACTTTAGTCCTCAGGAAATTGCTGTCATTGCTGTCGGTTTCAATACAATGTAGGAAAGAGTAAACATATAAAATAACAATAAGGCACAGATTCAAAACATATACAAAATACGTACAATGCCAAAACAGGTTACCAGTATAGATCATCAGATATAAAGAGGCAAATGGTGAGGATCATTCCAGGTGGGATGCATATAGACATGTATATAAAATATTACATCTGAGTATTAGGTAAGTGCAAGTGTGTATGTATGGTTAATATCACACATGAATAAACATCATCAGATCAATGATCAAAGGTTGTATAGAACAAGATTTTAAGGCAATCATCATGTGCTGCGTCATGTTTTTATCAAAGGCAGATAGTGCTTCATCCTTCAACCATCTTCACTGCACTCCATATTGTGTGTCTGCTCCTTCAGCTGCATCTAGTCCTGTTATTGCTACTGTTAGTGCCGCTCTTTCTCTTGCTTCTTTTGTTCTTCCTGCCATTCTTTTAAGTGATGGTCCTACCTCATCTTCAGCAATATGAATATAAGACTCACTCCCACACCAGACAAAGCACCCAACAATACACCTAATTCAAAACCTGCCAGTTTGATCCAAAGCTTCTTCCATACGCTGTCTTTCGCCTGCTGTGTGATCTCCTCCTCTGACATGTTTCCTGATGACTGTCTAATGAGCTCCTCCTCTTTCTGTATTTCTTTCTCCACTGCTTGTAGGATATCATTGGTGTAGCAGCCTCCTTTGTTTGCCTCAGTTATCTTGTCTAGTGTGTCAAGTAGCTTCTTCACCTGGAACCGGTTGCTCCTGTATTCATCCTGTTGGTTGTTCCAGTGTTTATTATCAATGACGTGGCAGCGGTCTCCGCAATTCTTCACCAGATCACTCAATGACTTATTCTGACAGACAAATTCCTCAATTGTCTGTCCTTCCTCCAGCTGGTCACCATGAGTGAAGACGATTGTTGCATATTTGAAGACTTCTTCAGAAAAGCATTCATTGATTTTGTCGATGACATCCTGCTCCTGCTTTGTGAATTTGTCCACTTTAAGCACAATGAGAAAAGCATGAGGCCCAGGAGCACACTCTATGATGCACCTCAGTATCTCACACTTCAGCTCCTCCTCAGGTCTATCTGTGTCAAAGAAACCAGGAGTGTCGATCAAAGTGGTGAGTCTCCCATTGACAGATCTGCTTTCTGCTCGACAAGCCCCCGTTCCAGATTTGGAAGTATCATAGACCTTAAACTGTTTCTCTCCAAATATGGTGTTCGCCAGGCTGCTTTTCCCAACTCCAGTTTTTCCCAGAATGACAACTCTCCTGTCTGACATTGAAAGAGAATAATGTCTGTCAGTAATAGTTTACATTTGACCTTTAGCTGTCTGCAGGTGTAAGGGGATACACATGAGCTCAGTTACAATAAAAATCCTCTTTGGTCAAAAATCACAATGAAAGAGGAAATCAGTTAGCGGCATACGGGAATGAAGAATGCTGTCAATACACAGAGAGAGGCCCCCAGGCATATTATGGACAGCTCCCCCTGTCTTCCTCCTGCATGCATGCACGCACATACACCTACTGACACAAACACACACACACACTGTATAGGACAGTATAACCCCGACCATGGACTGTGCAATATGTGCTAATGTATCATTTTGCAGCATTTTTCTTACTCCATTAAATGACAGAATTTAACCTTGGAGCAACACCCATCAAAATAAACAGGTCGATAGCCAATTGCCTAATTAATTAATGTGGTCTCATAAACTGAAGGCTGCTACAAAGTTCTTTTTCCTGGTGTACAGTGAGCGGACATTTATACAAACACAAATCACAAGATCAAAAGTCTTTATAAGCAGAGCCGGCTCTAGCCACTTTGGTGCCCTAGGCAGGATTGGGGTTCCATCACTATGGAGGTTTATAAATGTTTAAAGGCTTGGCCAGCTTGTTGACATTGTAAAAATAGACTGATTCAGGCTGTGTCTCACTGGAAGTCGTGAGGTAGTGAGGTGGTGTGCTGAATCCAGCCGTGCTGCTGCTTGTTGCGTGACTTGTAGCTGTATTCAAACATACAGTACATCCATACTGTTACACCACTGCTTTAAGTCTGTTGTGTCATTCTACTTCATATAAAGTGAAGCACTGTACAAATAGACTTTATTTTATTTGACCTACATTTACTGTAATTAATAACAAGGTTAACCTGGAACATTCAACAGTAATAATAATGACAGTATAATAATAATTTTAATAACAACAACAAAAATAATGATAAAAATGACAACATAGCAGTGTATCAGAGACCACAAATAATTGGCTAAACTTACATTCTTCATTGAGTGGAGGAGACGTCAGAGAAGGCCCCTCTGCAGCAGCTTCTTGGGTTTTCCCGTTCAAATATTTTCTCAGTGCATCTGGACAGATGTAGAGTAGATTTGCCTCTTACTGTACAGTACAAGCAAAACATGTAGCTGCAGCAGACAGACTACTACTTGCACCAGTGATGTGTTCAACATAACATGAATTATTATCTAGTTGTGATTGTGCATTACTAAAATAAAAGAGGCAGCACTACAATTATATAGTCACACATTAGTTTCACAGTTGTCTCTATTTGTTATCAAATTTCAGCACAATATCTAATGTGCTAAGGGAGGAGCACTAAGCAGCCAGTAGTTCACCAGATACAAACAGCAATAAACCAGCTCAGCAGCTTAACTCAATCCTTGGCAGCGATCACATCATTATCTACAGTAGCATTATTAGGCAACTTTGCTTTATTTCATCTTCGCAAGCTGCTAGCTCTTACAAATGAAAAGTTAAACTGCATTTTTTAATGTTATAAAAGACGACATACTTCGATACTGGGACCTCCGCCTCCTCTTTTCTCCGCTTTCTGTATGTCACACCTGAGGGGTTGGAGGTCTTTTCATGATGTTAACCCAATAATTTGACAAATTATGACCTCTTGTTGTCTATCAGTCACAACCGCTACCTACCTGAGATGCGCACAGATAACTCGGCCCACCCCTCTCTCCCACAGTGACGTGACTGAGCACGGTGCAGGACAGGTTCAGGGCCAGGTCAAATAATGACAAACAACAGGGGGGTTGTTGTTGTTTACTTTTTCTTTATTTGTTCTTTTTTTCAAGACAGAGCATGAGGAAAGGGCACCAGTTGGGGCTGCAAATTATTACTAGTATTTATTTATTTTATTTTATTTTATTTATTCTATTTTATTTTATTTTTTTGAGGGCTTGCAGCTGCACCCCCGCCAGCATGTGGCACCCTAGGCGACCGCCTATATGGCTTATGCCAAGAACTGGCCCTGTTTATAACTGAAAGGTGAATTAAACTACTAACTACAGTGTGTGGGTAAAATTAACGTGTGGGTTCTGAAAAACGCAGCATGTTGGGAGTTTCAAAGCTGCTCTGATCATCAATTGCCAATCCTCCTCTGGTTCCTGGCTTTTCATTGAGTCTTTGAAAGAAGTTTAGTTTTCAGGGCCTTGCCCCAAAAGAGTCGTAACTATAAAGTGTCAATGTGGGTCCTGAACTCCTCCTAAATCCTTCTCTGTGGCGTCTCCAGGCCGTGTTGTAAGGTCAACTAGGCACTAAACTTCCATTTCTGACTCATTTCTGAAAGGAATTTCAGTTTTAGTGAAGGATCTGAATATTGTCTTCTATTCAATAACTGTCATCATCATCCTCTACATTAGTGTAACCCCTTTAACTCCTTGTTTCACAACACTTTAAGTCAAATGTCTCTGTACATTGTACATTTGGAGCATAAAGTGATTCTGATTCTGAAGAAAATCTGTCACTGTTCAACAATATGAGAAAAAAAAGGAAGAAAACAAGATCTATAGAAGCCATCTACTAATAGCACCTGTGCACTGTAAAATATATTTAAAACAAATAGCTATTATTCATATTTCAGTGTGCAGTTTTGAGTCCTGACAGAAATAATTGAAAGAAATTAACTTACCACCCATGTTGTCAATAATGAAATAACAGGTGCAACAATAAGTCAGAGTCACACGACTGCAAGAGCGTTTGTGAATATGTTTGTTGTATCTTCTCTGACTTCTCTGTCACTAGTTTACCTCTCTGACGTGTTTCACAATAGAGTCCAATAAAAAAGCATACTGAACGTGTTTTCACGCACGTGCGGCATTTAGTCACGTTTTAGATTAAATGATTTGGTTATTGTGAAAACATAGAGAAACTTGTTGGACTGGTTTTCACTAAATGAATTTGCAGACCTTGTTATGAAGCTTAAAATCCATCAATGTGTGGGCCTCTGTCACTCTCAAAGGGAGGTAATAAATGTAATAAAATACTACTACTACTTTGACTACTACTATTACTTCTAGTAGATTAGATTAGATTAGATTAGATTAATTTATTCTCATTGTACAGAACATACAACAAAATTCAGTTGCATTCAAGTTCAGACTCAATAAAAATAAATGAAAAGTAAGAATAAATAAATAAATAAATTCATCCATCACTTATACTCTCATCTACACAGTAGACAGACCGTACACTCATCATGCCAACATATGCAGTTAAAAGAGATAAAATAAAGTGCTCATACAATTATTGCACATTAAGAAATTATTGCACATTTTGTTGTGATGTGATCCAGGTCAGTTCAGAGTTCATTATGGTGATGGCTTTGGGATAGAAACTGTTCATAAAATGTGTGGTGCGTGTTCTGATGGACCTGTAGCGTGTGTTGGAGGGTAACAGTTCAAACAGGTGATGGGCAGGGTGAAGTGAGTCCTTTAGGATGTTGTGTGTCTTCTTCAGGCAGCGGCAGGTGAAAATGTCTTTTATGGCAGGTAGCTGGTGTCCTATGATGTTTTGTGCGGTTTTTATGACTCTCTGCAGGGATTTTTTTGTCTGCTGCAGAGCTGCTACCATACCACACCAGGATTCCATGGGTGAGGATGCTCTCAGTTGAGCAGCAGTAGAATGACCTCAGGAGCTGCAGGGACAGGTTTATCTTCCTGAGCGTTCTCAGGAAGTACAGTCGTTGATGGGCCCTTTTGACCTGTGCTGTAGTGTTAACTGTCCATGTGAGGTCCTCTGTAATGTGTGTGCCCAGGAATTTGAAGCTGGACACCCTCTCCACCCTCTCCCCATTGATGNTGTGCTGTAGTGTTAACTGTCCATGTGAGGTCCTCTGTAATGTGTGTGCCCAGGAATTTGAAGCTGGACACCCTCTCCACCCTCTCCCCATTGATGTATAGTGGCAAATGGGCATCCTGCTTCTTCCTGAAGTCAATTATGAGTTCTTTTGTTTTTCTGATGTTCAGAGTCAGATTGTTTTCTCTGCACCACACTGTCAGCCCCTGTACCTCCTCTCTGTAGGTCGACTCATCGCCTTTAGTGATCAGCCCCACCACAGTCGTGTCATCTGCAAATTTAACTACAGTGGTGGCGTTGTGAGATGGTACACAGTCATGAGTGTACAGAGAGTAGAAGAAGGGGCTCAGCACGCAGCCTTGTGGGGCTCCTGTGCTGAGTGTCAGAGTGGAGGAGCATTGAGGGCCCATCCTGACTGACTGTGGCCGGTTTGTCAGGAAGTCCTTAATCCACAGGTAGGTGTTATGCTGTATGCCCAGGTCGATCTACTACCACTACTACTACTACTATCACTATTACTACTATTTCTACTACTACTACTTCTATTGCTACTTCTACTTCTTCTTCTACCACGACTAATTCTACTACTACTACCACTACTACTACTACTATCACTATTACTACTATTTCTACCACTACTACTTCTATTGCCACTTCTATTTCTTCTACCACAACTAATTCTACTACTACTATCACTATTACAACTATTTCTACCACTACTACTTCTACTTCTTCTACCACGACTAATTCTACTACTACTACTACTACTACTACTACCACTACTACTACTACTACTACTACTACCACTACTACTACTACTATCACTATTACTACTATTTCTACTACTACTACTTCTATTGCTACTTCTACTTCTTCTTCTACCACGACTAATTCTACTACTACTACCACTACTACTACTACTATCACTATTACTACTATTTCTACCACTACTACTTCTATTGCCACTTCTATTTCTTCTACCACAACTAATTCTACTACTACTATCACTATTACAACTATTTCTACCACTACTACTTCTACTTCTTCTACCACGACTAATTCTACTACTACTACTACTACTACTACTACCACTACTACTACTACTACTACTACTACCACTACTACTACTACTATCACTATTACTACTATTTCTACTACTACTACTTCTATTGCTACTTCTACTTCTTCTTCTACCACGACTAATTCTACTACTACTACCACTACTACTACTACTATCACTATTACTACTATTTCTACCACTACTACTTCTATTGCCACTTCTATTTCTTCTACCACAACTAATTCTACTACTACTATCACTATTACAACTATTTCTACCACTACTACTTCTACTTCTTCTACCACGACTAATTCTACTACTACTACTACTACTACTACTACCACTACTACTACTACTACTACTACTACCACTACTACTACTACTATCACTATTACTACTATTTCTACTACTACTACTTCTATTGCTACTTCTACTTCTTCTTCTACCACGACTAATTCTACTACTACTACCACTACTACTACTACTATCACTATTACTACTATTTCTACCACTACTACTTCTATTGCCACTTCTATTTCTTCTACCACAACTAATTCTACTACTACTATCACTATTACAACTATTTCTACCACTACTACTTCTACTTCTTCTACCACGACTAATTCTACTACTACTACTACTACTACTACTACCACTACTACTACTACTACTACTACTACCACTACTACTACTACTATCACTATTACTACTATTTCTACTACTACTACTTCTATTGCTACTTCTACTTCTTCTTCTACCACGACTAATTCTACTACTACTACCACTACTACTACTACTATCACTATTACTACTATTTCTACCACTACTACTTCTATTGCCACTTCTATTTCTTCTACCACAACTAATTCTACTACTACTATCACTATTACAACTATTTCTACCACTACTACTTCTACTTCTTCTACCACGACTAATTCTACTACTACTACTACTACTACTACTACCACTACTACTACTACTACTACTACTACCACTACTACTACTACTATCACTATTACTACTATTTCTACTACTACTACTTCTATTGCTACTTCTACTTCTTCTTCTACCACGACTAATTCTACTACTACTACCACTACTACTACTACTATCACTATTACTACTATTTCTACCACTACTACTTCTATTGCCACTTCTATTTCTTCTACCACAACTAATTCTACTACTACTATCACTATTACAACTATTTCTACCACTACTACTTCTACTTCTTCTACCACGACTAATTCTACTACTACTACTACTACTACTACTACCACTACTACTACTACTACTACTACTACCACTACTACTACTACTATCACTATTACTACTATTTCTACTACTACTACTTCTATTGCTACTTCTACTTCTTCTTCTACCACGACTAATTCTACTACTACTACCACTACTACTACTACTATCACTATTACTACTATTTCTACCACTACTACTTCTATTGCCACTTCTATTTCTTCTACCACAACTAATTCTACTACTACTATCACTATTACAACTATTTCTACCACTACTACTTCTACTTCTTCTACCACGACTAATTCTACTACTACTACTACTACTACTACTACCACTACTACTACTACTACTACTACTACCACTACTACTACTACTATCACTATTACTACTATTTCTACTACTACTACTTCTATTGCTACTTCTACTTCTTCTTCTACCACGACTAATTCTACTACTACTACCACTACTACTACTACTATCACTATTACTACTATTTCTACCACTACTACTTCTATTGCCACTTCTATTTCTTCTACCACAACTAATTCTACTACTACTATCACTATTACAACTATTTCTACCACTACTACTTCTACTTCTTCTACCACGACTAATTCTACTACTACTACTACAACTACTACTACCACTACTACTACTACTACTACTACTACCACTACTACTACTACTATCACTATTACTACTATTTCTACTACTACTACTTCTATTGCTACTTCTACTTCTTCTTCTACCACGACTAATTCTACTACTACTACCACTACTACTACTACTATCACTATTACTACTATTTCTACCACTACTACTTCTATTGCCACTTCTATTTCTTCTACCACAACTAATACTACTACTACTACTATCACTATTACTACTATTTCTACTACTACTACTTCTATTGCTACTTCTACTTCTTCTTCTACCACGACTAATTCTACTACTACTACCACTACTAATACTACTATCACTATTACTACTATTTCTACCACTACTACTTCTATTGCCACTTCTATTTCTTCTACCACAACTAATTCTACTACTACTACTATCACTATTACTACTATTTCTACCACTACTACTTCTATTGCCACTTCTATTTCTTCTACCACAACTAATTCTACTACTACTACTATCACTATTACAACTATTTCTACCACTACTACTTCTACTTCTTCTACCACGACTAATTCTACTACTACTACTACAACTACTACTACCACTACTACTACTACTACTACTACTACCACTACTACTACTACTATCACTATTACTACTATTTCTACTACTACTACTTCTATTGCTACTTCTACTTCTTCTTCTACCACGACTAATTCTACTACTACTACCACTACTAATACTACTATCACTATTACTACTATTTCTACCACTACTACTTCTATTGCCACTTCTATTTCTTCTACCACAACTAATTCTACTACTACTACTATCACTATTACTACTATTTCTACCACTACTACTTCTATTGCCACTTGTATTTCTTCTACCACAACTAATTCTACTACTACTACTATCACTATTACAACTATTTCTACCACTACTACTTCTACTTCTTCTACCACGACTAATTCTACTACTACTACTACTACTACTACTACCACTACTACTACTACTACTACTATCACTATTACTACTATTTCTACTACTATTACTTCTATTGCTACTTCTACTTCTTCTTCTACCACAACTACTTCTATTACTACTACTACTACTTCTACTACTACTACTACTACTACGACTACTACTTCTACTACTACTACTACTACTACGACTACTACTTCTACTACTACTCCTACTATTTCTACTACTACTTCTACTACTACTACTACTACTACTACTATTTCTATTATTACTACTAGTACTACTTCTACACTACTACTTCTATTGCTACTTCTACTTCTTCTATCACAACTACTTCTACTACTACTACTACTTCTACTACTACTCCTACTATTTCTACTACTACTATTTCCACTACTACTACCACCACTACTACTTCTAATGCTACTTCTACTTCTTCTACCATGACTAATTCTACTACTACTACTACTATTTCTACAACTACTACTACTACTACTACTTCTTCTACTACTCCTACTATTTCTACAACAACTACTACTACTACTACTACTTCTATTGCTACTTCTACTTCTTCTACCACGACTAATTCTACTACTACTACTACTACCACAACTATTTCTACAACTACTACTACTTCTACTACTACTACTACTATTTATACAACAACAACTACTACTACTACTTCTATTGCTACTTCTACTTCTTCTTCTTCTACCATGACTAATTCTACTACTACGCCTACTATTTCTACAACTACTACTACTTCTACTACTACGCCTACTATTTCTACTACTACTACTACTTCTACTACTACTACCACAACTATTTCTACAACTACTACTACTTCTACTACTACTCCTATTTCTACAACAACTACTACTACTACCACTACTACTTCTATTGCTACTTCTACTTCTTCTACCACGACTAATTCTACTACTACTACTATTTCTACAACTACTACTTCTACTTCTTCTTCTTCTACCACGACTAATTCTACTACTACTACTACTACTACTACTATTTCTACAACTACTACTACTACTACTACTACTTCTATTGCTACTTCTACTTCTTCTTTTTCTTCTACCACAACTACTTCTACTACTACTCCCACTATTTCTACTACTACTACTACTACTACTCCTACTACTACTTCTACTACTACTACTACTACTACTACTTCTATTGCTACTTCTACTTCTTCTTCTACCACGACTACTTCTACTACTACTACTTCTACTACTACTCCTACTATTTCTACAACAACTACTACTACTACTACTACTACCACTACTACTTCTATTGCTACTTCTACTTCTTCTTCTTCTACCACGACTACTTCTACTACTACTCCTACTATTTCTACAACTACTACTACTTCTACTAGGCTACTTCTACTACCATTACTACTTCTATTGCTACTTCTACCAAGCACGGCACAACTGATCTCCACCTGAGCGCAAGTATCCCCTCAAGACCTTGGAATGTGACTGGAGGTGCCAACTTCACTGTCTTTTTCTTTCTCTCCGTATTTTTTATGTGATTTATATTTTTTGTCATATGATTATGTCCATTATTGTGTTTATGTAGAATTATACATTACTCTTTTCATTTTTTATATTATTTATTTCCTCCTAGTGTAATTTGCTCAGCCCTTCTTCTCTCTGTTATTTACCAAACACAGACATGCACACTAGTGCCCGTAGTAACCACTTTTGTTATAGTAAAAACAACCAGTTTGCTTATCAGTGACATCAAGAATCCTGTTATACCTGATTATCTTTTGTTTGTTTGTTTTTGTGTTGCCCTGTTTTGTCCCATCTTGTCCATATTCCTGGCTTTATCTACCCCCTTGTTTGCAGTGCCTGTCATTACCTGGATTTTTTGATTATTTAGATTATCTAATTGGTTAATATGGTCAAATAGCATTATTCCAAGTATATCACTACTGACGGAAATTTTCACAATCACATTTGCCTTCCTAGTACAGAGCATTTCTTCATGAACATCATCCGTAATGAAACATAATGAGCAGCGGGTTGAAAATGAAAGAAGGGAAACATCTTGTGAACATATCTACAGGTTGATTAAATAATTCATCAACTGTTTGTCTGCTGCTTTCTAATGTGACAGACTCATGTACTTGTTCATTTTTTACCATGATAAGTCTGTTTAATCTTGATTGCTTCATCAGTAGTTTGAGCATATTTCTGAGAAATTTTACGAACAATTGTATCTGTCTGTCTGTGTCCCATATCTGTCTGCATCAAAGAAACCAGGAGTGCATGTTAGCATACCAACCGCAGCCTAGGCTGCTAAAAAAATACCCACATGCCTCTCTGTCTGTTGACAGATTTTGTCAGTGCGATAGTGTCACAATGCCAATACACCTCAGAAACTTTATAAGTGTGTAGTTAAGATCAAAATGAAGGACAAGGTTTAAGATGGATGTGGTCTGAGCAAGGGGCAGAAGTTATGACTAGCTATTATTCATATTTCAGTGTGCAGTTTTGAGTCTCGGCAGAAATAATTGAAAGAAATTAACTTACCATCCATGTTGTCAATAATGAAATAACTGAGGTGCAACAATGAGTCAGGGTCACACGACTCCAAGAGCATTTGTGAATATGTTTGTTGTATCCAGAGTTGGGTATAACGCGTTACAAAAAAAGGGTGGAGGAGGACTCGCTGACAGACAGGTCAGACTCAGGACTTGCATTATGCCTGGTACACACTACATGACTTTTCTGCCTGTTTTGAAAGTCACTATGTCACATTATACGATTATGGAGTCATAAAATCGTGCCGTGACTTGGCCCACAGACATGACACACTACATGATGGTACTCACCAATTATCCCCGGTCGTCTTTCACGGCGTGTGTGATGTCATCGGGTTATTCTTGTCCTATTTTTATTACTTTCACTATTATTTGAGTCACTGTGTGTGTTCATGTGCCAGCCCAAATGTTGTTGTAGTCACCTAAAAGCGCCAGCAGATGGCAGGAGCTACATCTGAAGTACCGTACGTAAACATAAAAGCTACTGTATCCTCCACAACCAAGTTCTTACAAATGTTTCACAATAAAAGCCTATTTAGAAAAAGGAGGAATTCTCTCAGCTGAGGTTATAAGGGGCTTTTAATTTGAAGGAAATTTAGGAAGTGTTGAGTTTGAAATGACGGAGCGATGTGTTAACTTTATTAAGACAACGGGAGCTGATAAAAAGTAAAAATATAAAGACAGAGGGATTAATAAATAACCGTCTATAATGTAGTTTGTTTCAAATGAAGCTGGGAGCCTCTGCAGTTGTGGTGAGTAAAAGCCCCGCCGCTATTCGTTAATGTTATTACTTTATGTCCGACCGTGAGGATGTACCATTGTTTGCTAGCTTGATGCTAATGACAGTAACGTTAACTCAGCGGGTTGACAAAGTGCCTCTGCTGTTTCACACCATCATTTCCCCCTTTTACTCTGTGTGGTAACATCCCTAGAGGAAATATTAAAAATGCTGGGGTGTTGTTGTCATACAGTTGTCTACGGCAGCAGATCGTTCTGTTTCTACTGGTCAAAGTGACGGCTGTGATGGGAGAATTGGATCTCAGTGAAGGGCAAGTGGTCCATAACTTTAATTTTGGAGACAAAAAAATGTAGGCTTAGCGCCCTATGGTCCATTGCCCAATAGGAAATGTAGAATACTCAAAAGTGCTTTAAAAGTGCTTGAGTTACTTTTCTCAGGGAGTAACGTTGGAAGTACTTTAAAAGTACTTGAGTTACTTTACTCAGGGAGTAACACAGTAAAGTAACTGGTTACTTTTTAAAAAAGTAACACACTAAAATACTTTGATTACTTTTAAAGTAACCCCTACTCAGCTCTGGTTGTATCTTCTCCGACTTCTCTGTCACTAGTTTGCCTCTCTGACGTGTTTCACAACAGAGTCCAAAAAAAAGCATACTGAACGTGTTTTCACGACATTTAGTCACGTTTTAGGATAAATGATTGTGTCATTGTGAAAACACAGAGAAACTTGTTGGGCTGCTTTTCTCTAAATTAATTTGCAGACCTTGTTATGAAGCTTAAAATCCATCAACGTGTGGGCCTCTGTCACTCTTAACGGGAGGTAATAAATATAATAAAATACTACTTTGACTACTACTATTACAACTAGTACTACTATTACCACTACTACTTCTATTGCGACTTCTTCTTCTTCCACCACGACTAACTAACTTTACCAAGTAAAAACTTTTTGCTCAAATCAATTTTTTTCCCACAAATTTGAGTTTATTGATTATTCATATTTATCTTGGTCATACATTTTAATTCACTAACAATCACAGCTATTTGAACAAAGTGATGTTGTACATAGATTAAATGATATTTGCTGGTTAGCTTTTGCAACAGAGAACAGTGAACAATGAGTACATTGATTTGATTACAGCATTTTTAAAAGATCTCAGACATAAAATATGTTAAAACAATTTTATATTTGTGGTTTGTAGCTTCAGTTTACAGCAGGGATACTCAACTTGCTGTGCTCAGGAGCAACTTTTGCAAAAGGACAACCAGTTAATAAAGAAACATTAAAATATTTATCAGTAAATATAACAAATGTGTTGCCTGTTTTCAACCCCTGACGTTTGCTGTACGTGGAGGTGTTTTTTAGGACTTGAGGACATTGGGGGCGTGGCCCTGACCTCAGAAAACAAGCTCTATTTTGATGCTTTTTTGCACTCTGGCAGCTAATTTAGATTCAAAGCACAAAAAAAATCCAATTTGAATCATTTTTTTTCCATTGTGAACTAGTAAGTGGTTGGTCGACCACCTGGCACCCTGTCGTGGGCCAAATGTGGCCCATGGGCCATGAGTTGAGTTCCACTGGTTTATAGTATATGCACTTAACAACACATCAAACACAGAGTCTGTGGTTAAGATAAATTTGCAACTTGCTGTGCAGCAGTTACAATACAAAGTAAGAAACAGTGAAAAAATATCATATACAATAAAAATAAGGTGCAAATCCAAATATTTACAATGCAGTTTGGATCACTTCCACATCTGAAAACACTGGTGCTTCACAAACATCTTCCCCCGGGCAACACACTGTTTTATACAGAACATTATGATGTCACAGTGAAGCTGACCTTTGACCTTTTTTATATACAATGTCTTCAATTCATCATTTTATCCTATTAGACATTTATGTCATATAGTTAGTGTAGGAATTCTTGAGTTATAACCAAAATGTGTATTGTGAGGTGACACTGACTTTGACCTTTGACCTTCGACCACCAAATTCCTCAGTCTAAGAGGATATTTTTGCCAAATTCAAAAATATCCATCCAGGCGTTCCAGAGGAGTCGTGTTCATGAGATTGAGACTGATGCAAGGTTACATTGACTTTGGCCTTTGACCAGTGACCACAAACATTTAATCAGGTCATGGTTGTGTCCAAGTGGACATTGGCGCCAAATTTGGCATTCTTTTGAGATACCACGTTAGCAAGAATGGGAGGGACAGACAGACGGATGGATGGAAGGACAGACAACCTGAAATCATAATGCCTCTGGCCGCCTTTCACTGGTGTGGAGGCACAAAGATAGATTGTGAAACAGGAAAAAGCGCTTGAAGCTCAGACAAGATAAAACCTGTGACATATCACATATGAATAAACATACTTCAGCTCAATGGTTAACGATGGGTTAAAAAGATTTTCATGTGATCTACAGGTAGACATGACTTTATTGATATATTCTCCTCCCTGTCTTTGGGAGTCACAGCTCATTGTAGGTTTTAACTCTCTTTTAACTTTGAATATGTTGGTTTGCTTGAAACATTCAAGCTGCTCACTCCATCTATGATAGACTGGGCTCCCTCCTTGACAGCAGCTGCTGTCATCTTTGCTGCGTCCCATGGCGTGTCTGCTCCCTCAGCTGCATGATATCCTGTATAACCTCCCACTACTGCTCCCACTGCAGCAGATACCCCTGCAGCTGCGATTAATGTTGTTCCAGTTACTCCTACTCCCCCTGCTACTGCTACTCCTCCTGCTGTTGCACCTGCTGCTGCTGCTGCTGCTGCTCCTCCTCCTGCTGCTGCTGCTGCTGCTGCTGTTCCTCCCGCAGCTGCTGCTCCTGCTGCTGCTGCTGCTGCTCCTGCTGCTGTTGTTCCTCCTGCACCAATTGCTCCTGCTGCTGCTCCTGTGGCTGCTGCTCCTGCTGCTGTTGTTCCTCCTGCACCAGCTGCTCCTGCTATGACTGTTTTGGCCGCAGGCACTAGTTTCTTTAAAGTGAAGACAGCTACTCCAACCATCGCTACTACACCAAACAAAGCTCCTAACAATACACCTGTTCCAACACCTGCCAGTCTGATCCAGATCTCCTTATATGCCCTGTCTTTAGCCTGCCGTGTGATCTCTTCCTCTGACATGTTTTCCGATGACTTTCTAATGTGCGTCTTCTTTTGTTCAATTATTTCCTGTGCTACTTGGAGCATCTCATTGGTGTAACACCTTCCTTTGTTTGCTTTTGTTATCTCAACTATTGTGTTTCGTATTTTCTCCACCTGGTACTTGTTGCTCCTGTATTCATCCTGTTGGTTGTCTTTCCAGTATTCATTGTCAATGACATGGCAGCGGCCCCCGCACTTCTTCACTAGATCACTCAATGCCTTATTCCTACGGACAGTTTCCTCAATTGTCTGTCCCTTGAGCTGGTCACCATGAGTGAAGACAACTGTGGCATATTTGAAGACTTCTTCAGAGAAGTATTGGTGTATTTTGTTGATGACATCCTGCTCCTGCTTGGTGAATTTCTCCACTTTAAGTACAATGAGAAAAGCATGAGGCCCAGGAGCGCACTCTATGATGCACCTCAGTATCTCAGGCTTCAGCTCCTCTTCAGATCTCTCTGTGTCGAAGAAACCAGGAGTGTCGACCAAAGTGATGCTTCTTCCATTGACAGATCTGGTTTCTGCTTGACATTTCCTTGTTTCAGAGTTGAGACTGTGGTCGACCTTGAATGGTTTCTCTCCAAATATGGTGTTAGCCAGGCTGCTTTTCCCAACTCCTGTTTTTCCCAGAATGACAACTCTGCTGTCTGACACTGAAAGAGAATAATGTCCATCAATACATTGTACATTTATCTTTTGGTTGTTTCACATATATAAGAAGATACACATTAACTTATCTAAAATTGTCATTGGTCAAAAATAAGTTATTCACAAAACAACGTAATTATCATTATAAGAGAATTAAGAGTGGTGTCAATACATAAAAAGAAACCAACATGATCCCGATCAGAGTCCTTTAATATTGGGTATCTGGCACAGACTCCAGACTCATACTTACATTTACCCAAACCTTAATGTTTATTTGGCACAGATGAAAGACAGACAGATAAAATGACAGCTGTAGACTACTCAATCATCTATGTTATTTTTAATTCCAGCCTTTATCTTGACTCAAATTGTCACACTCATTAAATATGGCAGCTCAGTCAGTGGCCCTGTGCTTTAACCTATGACACTCGGGGTACCCCTCTAGCATCTGTTTTTAAAGCTAAGGGACAGCGTGCCAATTTCTGCTCATTACAGGCAGTCTTTTCCAAATAAACGTCAGTGTTCACAGGACACAGGCCACAAAACCAGTTGGTTATGTTTAGAAAAAAAAATCATGGTGTGGCTTAAAATAAGAGCCTTTGTTGTGTATCTTAATTTAGTTTGCAACTATGTTGTGATGTTCGTCACGTGACATTCACAACGTAACCAAGCTAAAAAATCTCAACATTTTACATGGGACATGAACACTGGTCTCCTGAGTCAAAGTCTCTTGTTTGTTTGACCCATCCACCACCCCTCCCTCCCTGCATGCACTTTCTTGCTCTTTATACTGTGTCATCACTGCAGACAGGTTTCCATTGGAGTTATTTGAGTTCCACTTTGTAGCACAGTGCATTTATCATAGTTGGGTGGTGGTCTGGAAATAAATGAAACGGTATGTAGTTCTTCAACTAGTAAGGTAAGCAACATTTGGTTGAATTTGAAAATGTAAAGTAAAAATTGGTTTTAACCATTTATTTTCAGACCTATTGTTTTATTCATTCTAATGTTTTGACCTTAAATACTGTACATATTGCTGTAATAAACAGTTGTGCATTTTAGTCCTCTGTGATGCCAATTGTTTTTCTGTTGTTTTGTTTTTATTTTGTTTGTTTTGTCAGGAAAAAAAAGCCATTGCTTAATACTTTACATTTCAAGTTATTTTATGTTAAAATCCATTAGTAGTAGTCGTAGTAATTTATTCGTCCATTCAACAGAACATCGTATATACATACATACAATTAGGATTTCTATGTTAAATATGGGTGAAAAGGCGTAGGCTGAAGCAACAGCTTATTTTTGCCTACCCTATTTACAAGAAGGAAAGTTGCAGAAACAGAAGAAGATAATGAGATGGCACAGTTTTAAACAATGATTTTTTATCTAAACTGAAAACAATAAATAATATTAATCTGAGCAAAATCTTCAATTTAATAATTGGCTTACTTTATCCTAATATTTTATATTTATTGTCTGTCAACCAGTGTTGGGTAAGGGTTACTTTAAAAGTAATCAAAGTACGTTACTGCGTTACTTTTTTTAAAAAGTAACCAAAGTACTTTACTGTGTTACTCCCTGAATAAAGTAACTCAATTACTTTAAAAGTACTTCCAATGTTACTCCCTGAGAAAAGTAACTCAAGCACTTTTAAAGCACTTTTGAGTATTCTACATTTCCTATTGGGCAATGGACCACAGGGCGCTAAGCCTACATTTTTTGTCTCCAAAATTAAAGTTATGGACCACTTGCCCTTCACTGAGATCCAATTCTCCCATCACAGCCGTCACTTTGACCAGTAGAAACAGAACGATCTGCTGCCGTAGACAACTGTATGACAACAACACCCCAGCATTTTTAATATTTCCTCTAGGGATGTTACCACACAGAGTAAAAGGGGGAAATGATGGTGTGAAACAGCAGAGGCACTTTGTCAACCCGCTGAGTTAACGTTACTGTCATTAGCATCAAGCTAGCAAACAATGTTACATCCTCACGGTCGGACATAAAGTAATAACTAACAAATGGCGGCGGGGCTTTTACTCACCACAACTGCAGAGGCTACCAGCTTCATTTGAAACAAACTACATTATAGACGGTCCGTTATTTATTAATCCCTCTGTGTGTTTATATATTTACTTTTTATCTGCTCCGTTGTCTTTGTAAAGTTAACATATCGCACCGTCATTTCAAACTCAACACTTGCTTCAAATTAAAAGCCCCTTATAACCTCGGCTAGAGAATCCCTCCATTTTCTAAATAGGCTTTTATTCTGAAACATTTGTCAGAACTTCCCGTGGAAGAATTAAAGAAATATATGTAAACAGTCTGACTTGGTGCCCTCTAGTGTCAAGATCTCTGTAACAAGAAAAAAAAGCAGAAAGAAAAAAGAATCATGGCCAAAGAGTATGGAAGCCCATGTCCGCCACTTGATGGAAAAAAA